TGCCAACTAGATCATCCCCTTTAATCACTACCAGGCCCAGCAATGCTTTACCTCGTGTTGGTCCATAGACTTCTTGGGTCAGGTAGAGTTTGTCTGTGCACGGGAGGAAGCTCTGCAATTGTTCAGATTTGGTTGAGTGCTCTTCCCGCGAGATGTCCGGGTAGCTGAAGTCTCCCATGACAACCATGCATGGAGAGCATGTAGCCTCAGCCAGTTCCCTGGTGAATTCCTGGTCAATCTCGTTTCTGGTTAGGGACTCTATAGCAGACTCATACCATTGTGTCCCGTGTCACATTCCCCACCTACTTTAACCCAGAGGGTATCTAGTTGTGCTTGCTAGGTGCCAATGTTGGCTTGCAGGGATGCATAGCTTTCCTTGACATAGAGCTACACCCCCACACCTTTTATCTGCACAATCTCTCCTATACAAGGGATAGCTGTCTATACCTGTGGCTCTGTCATAGGTGGAGTCCCACCAGATCTGTTATCCCTATGAGATCATAGTCTTTCTTGTTTAGTAGAACCAGCTCCTCCTGTTTATTCCCCAAGCTCCTGGCATTGGTGTAGACACGTAAATATCCCATTGGGAGCCCTAGGCTTCCTCACATTCTCAGGAGGACACTGTTCCAGGGCTGGGGTAGGAGTGGAATCGCTTGGGTGTCCTAGCCTGTTGGTTTTGTAGTGTATTGCCTAACAGGCTTGCTTTGGTGGTTGTCCACCCATCCCCCAGCAGGCTTAGTTTAAAGCCCAGTCGAGCAAGTCAGCCATTCTGGCTGTCCCTAGTGAAGTAAGGTGGAGGCTGTCTCTTCCCAGCAGACTGCTGCCTCTCTCACCAAAGAGCAGACTGATTGTGGAAACTGAAGCTTTCACAATGACACCAGTGCCACAGTCTTCAGCTGACCACCTCGATCTGTCTCCTGTAGCCCATGACCCATAACTGGGAGGATAAAGGAAAAAACCACCTGTGCCCCTAAGCCCTGCTCCCAGAGCCCTATACCCATTCATGACCTGGCTGGGATTGCTCAGAGCAGTGTCATTCATGCCCACATGGATAAGGAGCATAGGGTAGTGGGTTTTTCATCATGGAAAAATCAGAGCTTCTGCCACCCTCACTTACCAGGACTTGGGTCCAGCTGCAGTTGTCCCCCTCCCCTCCCCTACTGCTTTGTGGTGGTGAGTAGGCCTGATATGCTGTTGCCCCTCACTCCCAAGTCATTCCCCACCCCCCAGTGCCCCTCACTCCCTGCCTATCCCCCACTTGCTCCCTCCTGGCAGCAGCTCCCCCTGTGCAACAGGACATGGGTCCAACTGGCTGTTCCCTCTGCTGCTCTGTGACACTAAGCAGCCCTGACAGGCCAGTGCCCTGCCCCTGCTGTTGCCCCTTACTCCCCAGCTACAGCCCCCACAAACCTGACCCACAGGGCCCCCCCCACCCTGCTTCCATCACCCTGCCTGGCTGTATGTTGTGTGCGCAGGCAGGCACACGTGATGCCCCTGCCTCCAATCACCCTCCCCTGCCTCAAGCAGCTCCTTGCTAGGGCAAGCTGGGAAGTGCCAGGAAAAACTTTGATGAGGAGCAGAGTAAAATCCCAGTTGTTTGTTGATATTTAAAAAAAAACACACTTGGACAGAGATGGGAGGACCCAAAAAGAGGACATGTCTAGGAAAACCCTGATGTATGGTAACCCTAGCTATATGTAAAGTAAGAGGAAACAGATGTTCAGTTAAAATACAACATTCAGTTTACTTTGGCTCTACAACAGTAAAAGATTCAAGTAGTGTTGTTTAATATTAGGAGTTCATAAAAGGCTACTGCCTGTAGTAGGGAATCGCACATCTCCTCCTCCCTGTTTTGTGTAACTGAAGAAAGTAAGTTTCTATACGTCACCACCTTGTTCAGGGGAAAGGATATTCGTGGCTGTTCTTGGGTAACATATTCTAGGAGAAGTTGCTTCACAAGTTCCATTCCACTTGACCGGAAATCTCCTACCATCAACCCAAAGTGTTTTCCTACAACAGTTCGGGACATACCTAGTATTTGGTCCTGGACATCTAACTGCAGTGTTTTATGTAACAGGGCATACAGCATAGCTTCGATCATGCGAAGATGTAATGTTACAGGAAACAAATTTATATTCTGATTAGAAAGTCTTTTTTTTTCCAGAACATAAACATCAGCTTTAGGAAGTTTGGAAACCACTGAAGAAATCTGGGGAGGAGGGAGAGAGAGAAAAAATATACACATTAGCCAGAACACTAGCTAAATCAGCTGAACTAGAAACCAAAATCAAAAGATTTCTTAACTAGCGTATTTCAGATGAGTGATAAAGTACTAAGCTGGCAAAAAGGGATTGCAGTTTTCATCAAGTTTTACTTGTGTTTTTGTTAAAATTTCAATAAGACACATCAAATTGAAAACTTCTTTCCAGTTCTCCTCTTTGCCACTTTAAAAAATGCTTGTTTAAGTCTAAATGTTATTTATAATTATTGAAGAATGTGGAGAAGGCTGTTCACCTTGCAGCCACACATTGCACTAGTAACAAATCACAGCTCATAATTAGGGTGCAAGAAGGACTGTTACAAGCAGCTCCCTCACAGCTTCTGAATTTTTCTAAATACTTCAGGTCCTCTAGTACAAGAGACGTCACATCTTTCTTATGGTGTTCTAGAATGGAAAGTTTTGTTTACCTGCAGAAAGTTCAAGACAAGTGTTGAAGAAAGCAGCTCTGCCACTTGAGTGCTGTATGCATTGCCAATAAACAAGCTTTTTAAGGCTATATCTCATACAGATTCCTTTTGCAAATCTGGGTTTTCTATGTGCAATTCATTGAATAAGCCAGCAAAATAAATACTGCTTAGAAACAGAGCTTAGAAAAGGTCTCCCTTGGAAAATGAAGTACTTTTTTATGTATTATAAAAGCGAGTGAGTAAAAATTAAACTTAAAGAGTTTATTTTAAAAACATCCAGAAGACCTTCTACTTACATTTTCCAGATACACTGCTGGCTGATAGGTTCCCTTTATAAATCTGTATTCTTTCTGCTGCCAACTGTGAACTGCTAAGCTGCGATCCACATGAGCCCATGCAATTTTGCGAGGGCCAAAAACAATAGACACGATGCTAGATAAAGCCTGAATAGAAGAAAGGTGGTGTCAGTTCTTTCAGCAGTTAATCTCTCCAGCCTTCTGATGGTGTATGTATGAATTATGTGCTGAATATTATTTATAGCTTAGATGAAAATACCACCTTTTACAAAACTATACAGAGTTCTGGTTGATAAAACATAATTTCTAGAAGTGTTAAATTTAGAGCACTAACAAAAATTATTCTTAAAATAAGAGTGGTTTCTTAGATCAAATGGGTCAGGACTGGACACAGGCATGGACAAACCAGGTGGCTGCCCAGGGGCCTGAAAATGGTGAAAATACAAATTATTATGATCGTTATCTCTGGCAAAGGGGGTTCCAATACAGGTTTCCCTCGCTTTATGCAGGTCCTGTATGTGTGAATTCACTCTTATGTGATAACCCTTTTTATATAAAAAAAATTAGTTATACGCAACATAAATTCATTTTTATGCGATTGGTGCAGTGGAAGCTCCCAGTCAGCTGCTTTGTGCAATGCCTTGTGAGAGTGACATGCACCAAAACACTGTCTCCGGTGTAGACCTGTTCTCCTCACTTGTTGTCTGAAATATGTGTTTCTGTAGTTACCATCCCCATTATGAAAGTGCCCTGTGCTTGTATGTGCTGTCTGTTGTGAATGCGTACCAACACTGTCTTGTAAAATTGGTAGAAATGGGCCTGGGGGTCAGTACAGTTGAGGTCTTGGGACGTATTCCTATTGGTGACATTGTAAAGTGGGGTCCCTTTATACGAATTCAAGCTATGCGCTGTTTTCTAGGAACACATGTACAGCATAAAGCAAGGGAAACCTGTCCGAAGAATTCACCCGGCCACCAGGAGTCTGAACAGTGCTGAAATGGCTACATCCCCGCAACCGTGCAGACGGCTACATACGTGCGGGCGGCTACATACCTCCACGTTTTTGATTTTAGGTTTAAAGAACCTCCTTGACAATTTAGCGCCCTGCATTTTTCCCTCTCTCTTCTCCACTTCCTCAGATGAATCCAGAATAAAGTTGCAAACGTTAACTAGGGTTTGAAGTTGCAAGATAGGCACATTCAGTAAGCTCAGCAAGTCCCCAAAGGGCCCGTGTTGCAGGCGATACTCGACGATATCGGCCGGCAGGGTGCCCTGCAGCTCTCCAATGGCAGCCAGCTCCTCCCCGGACGCGGTGTTGAGCGCCTGCAGGACGGCGGCCTGCTGCTCCGGGGAGAACAGCGCGCCCAGCGGCTTCTCGGGCCGCTCTGTGCTCCAATCTCTGGTGGGGGCGCAGGTGCAGTCCTGCTGCAGCGCGGGCCCCAGGGTCTTCACGCCGGCTTGAGGGCGCAGGGGCTGCAGCCAGGATGACACCGCGCCGAGGCGCAAGAAAAAGCTTCCTGGGGAAAGAGGCAGAGCATGTTGCAGTGAGATCGCGGAGCTGCCAAGCACGGGGGGAGGGGGGAGGAGAGGCGTGAAATCCTCTTATAACGACCCTCGACCAGACCAGGCCCCGCTACCTCGCCGCAGCACCACTGCGCCCATGCGCCTACGGACAGAACTGCGCCCCCAACCGCAGTGACTCTGAGGGGAAGGTTCTGCTTCCGGTTCCTGAGGGGGGAACTTTCCGGTTCTGGTTCCGGGTCCCGACCCCGACGGGAAAGGTTCTATGTCCGGTTCCGGTTCTGGAGCCTGAGGGCAAGGTTCCGGTTTTGGTTCTGAAGCCGCGGCGTTGAGGGGAGCGCGGCCATGAGGGGGCTGAGGCGTGTGGGCTGTGGTCTCCTTCTCCCTCCCTTTCCCCTCCCCTCCCCCACCGCCTGTCCGCCTTGGGCGGTTCTTCCTTCCCCGCGGGATGGAGAGCTACAGCGGCAGGATGGCGCTGCTGGGGCTGCTGCAGGCGAGCGGCGCTGGCAACACCCACTGCGCTGACTGCGGGGTGCCAGGTGAGCCTGGCCCGGCCTCTGCCTCTCGCCTGAGGTGCCTGCGGGGGGAGCAGCTCTGGCACACGCTCCGGTGGAGGCCGCTGGGTGGGAGGGAGGAGCTGCCCAGAGCCGGGCTGTGCCGTGCCCGAGGGGCCGCGTGTGGAGAGACCCCTTGGAGAGAAGGAGGAGCAGGAGGGAGACGTCACCCCGATGACTAGCCAGTCGGTGTGAGGGTCCTCCCAGATCAGGGGAAGATCAGGTGGTCTCTGTTTTGCAGCCGGAAGAAGCGGAGAATTTCTACCAACCTCAGCGTTGGGCCGTTAGGATTTTAGTGACGCTGAAGCTCAATAGACGTTGCACCTGTTAGGTCCGTCACTGGGTTGTTTCTGAGTCACCGGCTGGCCTGTACGGACAGGTTTCTGGCTATTGTGTCATCTAAATTTGTTTTTTTGAACAAGTGTTTGGTGGAAGGACCAACAGATGAATGGGTCGTGACGGCAACAGAGTCACTTCCACATAGGCTGGGTCTGGATTTGACTCCAGTGACTGCACCGTGAATGTGGTTTTATTTTGGATGTGAATCTCAGAGACTGTTATTCCTTTGCCGGCGCGTTGCTACATGCTGCGCGGCACTACAACCTTCCTTATGTTTTTCTTTAGATCCTGAATGGGCCTCTTACAAACTTGGAGTATTTATCTGTTTGAATTGCTCTGGGATTCATCGCAATCTTTCTGAAATCAGCAGGGTCAAATCCCTCCGCCTTGACTTCTGGGAGCATGATCTTGTAGAGGTATGGATGGGGAAATGAGAATTCAAGTTCTCTCTGCTGCATTTCGGCATGTTGTTTTTCTGTCTCCTGGTCATGACATTGTCAGGTCAATAAAAAACATGGAATAACATTAATCTCTGGGGTTTCTAGTGATGTCTCTAACCCATAGTAATACATGGTCAAATTAGGACATGCTAAGAAGTGCTTATCCTCCATCTTGTTATAGGTTATGTTTATAGAGCACCTAGGTAGGTGCACATTGTGCTTTATAAGCACGCGATGACTTTCACATGTATAGGGTCTTTGAGACTCCCAATCTCTTTTTTAACACAAATTAAACCTCACATCTTCCCACCAAGGCGTTTATGTATGTTATCCCCAGTCTGCAGCTGGGGGCAGAGGCCATAAAGAAGGATAATATTTCCTGTTAGAACACAGGAAAGAAGAAAGGTCAAACACAAGCACAACAAGCATGCGTTCATACCTGCATGTGTGTACAGAAAGCTGAGCAAAATAAATATGCTGCTGCCTTTGTCCCTAGTTTCATGGTATGTTTATGAAACAATACTTATTTTTCTGGTTGCCAGTCCCCCAATTGAGGAACTTCTTTTGTTTTGCAGTTTATGAAGAAGCATGGGAATCTCTGTGCAAAGGCTATCTATGAGGCAGAAGTCCCTCCTTTCTATTATGTTCCCCAGTCTAAAGACTGCCTGTAAGTTGCTGACTTGAGGGCTGCAGACCTTCATAAGCTTTTGTACTTTTGCTTCTCCCTGCCTGTGCCGCCATTAGTATCATATTTTCTTGCATGTAACGTGTCAAAGAATAAAATAACCTAGTTTTTGAAAGGCAGAATGGAAAAAAATAGATTTTTCTTTGTATTAAGTAACTGAGTAGCAGCAGTTAAAGAGCTAAGCCTGCTTGTTCTGCTCCCTGATGATGCTGTGCAGTTAGTTTTGCTTTTGTCCAGCAGAGTCTTGACTGATAGAAACATTGTTACCTTATTTCTTTACTTACAGTGCAAACTGCAATTTCCAGCAACATACTTTTTTTAAAATTGTATGTTGTATGTGAGAAAATACAGGTATTTTGGCTGTGCTGAGTGGTGTCGGTTAGCCTGTTTCCATATGCAGCTGGAAAGGGGTAGGGGCAACAATCAGAGATGGATGTAGATTGAGCTAATCTATGTTTTTCTTTTTTCAGGGTTTTAAGAGAACAATGGATCAGAGCTAAGTATGAGCGGAAAGAATTTGTTGCCACAAGCATCAGCCATGAAGCATGTACCTCAGGTAAAAAGTCCTTGATTGTCTATAGAGGGTTGTTAGCCTTGTGAAGCCAAAGCTACAGAGGACTGAAAACCTCTTCTCAGTGGTGTTCAGCTAGTGGCTGGGGTTGCCTTATTTTCACCTGGCTGAGAAACTCTCCTCCTACATGCTCTGTCAGGATGTGCAGCCAGTATATGCTTACTTGGAAAACCTCATTTACAGGTATATGATGCATTGCACATGGAGAAGCTCAGATTGACCCTAAGGCTAATAAATGGGCATTTGCCCCTCTGAGCTCCAGTATGAGGACCCAGATGCATGGGCTGGAGGTACATTTTTCTCCCTCCACTGCTCAATAGTGTTCTTTAAAACAGAAAACCAGAGATGGAAATAAGACTAGAAACAAAGTCACATTTCCTCTTCGGCAAGTATGTGGTTTCACTGAAACTGAGGTGTCTAGCTTCCATTTCAGGCAGCCGTGAAGGATTTCTGTGGAAGCGTGGGCGGGATAGTAAGCAATTCCTCCCAAGGCAATTCATCCTGTCAGCAAGCGATGGAGTACTGAAATACTACACCAAAGAGGTGAGTTCCCCAGACATAAACTGGTCGAAGTCTGGTCTTGTAGCCAAGTTCCTGGCCCACACACACACACACAACTTGCTGGACAGTTTGCTGGCTCTTAGATTTTGTTGCTATGCCCACCAGCCTTCTACCCTTGTATTTGATGGACAGGAAGAGGGAGAAGGGTTAAGTTGGCAGGAGTCACTTCCTGTTTTACCAGCACTAATCTCATGAAGCACCCACTGCTCCACTTCTTGCCTTCTTGCATAAACCACATCTCCCTTCTGTGCAAAACTACAGTTTATGGCTCTCTTGGAAAATCATACTAGAGAGTGCTGAAGTTAATGAAGTGATAAGGAGACCAGCACCTAAGATGGCAGGTGATAGGACAGGACTAGCTAACCTGGCCCTTTCTTCTAAGGAAACTGTGCGGCATCATTTGTCAAGGAAAAAAAGTCTTTCTTTAGAATGAAATGTGATGGACTCAAAACAAGGAGTAACAAAGATGTAGCCTTTGCCAACTTTGTTGTTTGAGGAAGCTGGTTTTTAGCTCGTTGAGGAACTGCTAGTTGGTTAGCACCTTTGCCCTTGACTGCTTCCCACAAAGTCGCTGTTAACACATGAATATTTTTTGACCCACAGTCAAAAAGTCCAAAAGCTGTGATCAGCATTAAGGATCTGAATGCAATGTTCCAGACAGAGAAAATCCAGAACCCCCATGGGCTGCAGATCACATACAATGAAGGTGGTCGGACAAGGAACCTTTTTGTCTATCATGAGAGTGGAAAGGTAAAGGCAAAGTTGCTTTTGTAGTAACTGAGAAATGTTGGATCTATAACTTGTCTAAGGGTTACAGTGAAGTAGTATATGGCAAGACTCCCTTGTTCTGTTTTTAGCTCTACCAGTGATGGTTGTGTGATCCTGGGCGGGTTGCTTACCTTCATTTCCCCTTAGGTTCTACGTTGCAGTGTTAGGAGACACAAGACAAGTTGGCAAAGAGTCTGAAGATACTTTTTAGAAGATAACACTTGTAACCTATTGCATTATTCCTGTCTTTACAGTTATATTTGCTATCTTCCTTAGGAAATTGTTGACTGGTTCAATGCCATTCGGGCAGCGCGTTTCCATTATCTTAGAACTGCCTTCCCCACTGCCCCTGTGTCTGAGGTGAGAACTGAAAAAGTTTGAAATAATTGATGTGGACATCATGAAACACATTTGCTCATGCACCGTGCGATGGTGGTATCCCTCAGGATAGAGAATGGATTTGAGAGCTTCTAATGAACTCGTTTCCCCTTCTTGCGGGGGGTGCGTCGGCCCCTAATTCTGGGCTTCTATGGGGATACATTTGGCATCTATTTCCAGTAAGCACCAGTCCGGTTGTTAAGACTGCTGGTAAGGTTTGCGTGTGCAGGTAGTGCTGTGTGGGAAGTGGTGCTGTTGCATGCAGGTTGGGTGGTGAGCCAACGTGTGCTTGGACAAATGCAACTTGCGTATGTTAGCAATTGCAAAATGGAGGCCATAATAGTGAGTATGGCTCATAATCTTCATTTTAGAAATATATCAAGGCTTTTCTAGCTCAAAATTGAAAATCAGTAGCATTTCATTTTTGCTTCTTTATTAGGCATTTTCCATTTTCCTCCTATACTCTTTCTCTAATCCCTTGTTCCACACCTTGCTCAACAGTCAGTTATCTTGCTTTACAAGCACCAAGACTCCTCCTCATCTCTCTCCATTGGGCTAGTCGCAACCAATCTCTTGGCACCTGGGCAAGAAGCCACTAACTTGTATACTCATGTTTATGAGAGCACACAGATCCTTACCTGAAGAAGCATCACAGTGACAGCCATACAGAGAGGAATGTTACAATGTGTTACTTATACAATGAGACAGACACTCTGGGTTCTCCCAAACTATTCTGAGAGCGTCCAGGCTATTTCTGGGTTTCAACTGCAGGCTCCCTCCTTTCCTCCCTCCACTTTTGTTGCTATTGCAGAGCTTGTCTTCACAGCACATTATGATTATTATTATAGTTCATGTTGACCAAGTGTGGGTAAAATTAACTTCTCATCTTTCACTTTAACCAGAAAACAGTTTCAGTTTAGCCCCAGATGGTAGATTATTTTTTGCAGTGATCAAGTCATTGTAGAATGGAGGAACATCCTGTACTCGGTGCACAAAGAGTAGATCAAACTCAGGAGCTAAATACGTCCACATTGTCTGTTTAAAATTTGGCCTGTAGAAACAAAAAACATTTGTTTGTTTTTGCTTTAGACTTCCCTTTAATACGCAGATAAAACAAATCACAAAAACTGTTGATGATTTGCTTTGGTAAGTTAGAAGAGAAAGCTGAGTCTAAATGAGATGGTAGCCAATGTCTTTTTTGTTCTTCTAGCTTGTACCCAAGATTACGAGGAGTTATTTCAAAGAAGGCTACATGGAGAAAACGGGACCAACGGTAAATTCCCCCTGAATATCATGCCTGAGCACCATTTAAAAGCTTAGCACTAACCAAACATAACTTTTTCACAGAAGCAGAACATTTACTAATGTTGTCATGATTATGATTAAACAGTTTGCTGGGAGCTGTAGTTAAGTGCATTCCAGTTAACCTGGATGGACTGAGTCTCAGTTTGTAATGAGCGCTGAGGGGTTTTTTTCACTTTTGCATGAGATATAACTTTGAGGGCTCGTTGCAAACTGCAGGTGTGATGGAATAATTGGCAGTGTTTCTGGAGTTGCTAAGTTACTAGTATTAGCACTGAATGGGTGGCTGTCGTGTGCCTGTCTGTTAATTGCAATTCCATCATCACAAGGTGCCCACTAGAGCAGAGACTTTCATGCAGATTCCTCTCTCCCAGTGCACATTCTTGTTGTCTCTCCACATATTTTCTGACTCTGCCTACACACCCAGGCTCCAGCCTGTGTCAGTACTGCTAAAAGGATCATAAGTGAAATACTTCATGCTGGTAGTGAATATGCCACTGTTAAATTTCATCTCTCTCAGATCTTTTTGCAGTGCCTCATCCTGTAGCTTTACCACAGCAGGTCACACGTGAATTCTTACCAGCCAAAAAGGCAAGACTTTTCTTGACTGAATGTTTACAGTGGGAAGAAATAGTGCTGAACCCTTAGTGGGGCTGTACAGTTTAGTGTCAGCTCTGGCTTCCAGTAGAAGGTTTGTACGTTGCTAAAGAATTCATGGTGTCACCTATTGTTAACCTTAAGAAGGAAGAGAGCTGAGGCTGTAGGTGTGCTGGTGAGTCATGAAACTGCATGAGAAGCTGAGAGTGAACCAGAGCACAGAGGTAGGAGGAGGTGGCCAAGGACCTGCTGTGTGTGGGTGGAGCCCTGCTCCTGGGAGCTGGATCATTAAAGAGCTTATTCTTTATCTAGCACAAGGAGATCTTCAAGAAGCGCTGGTTTAGCTTGGATTCACAGGAGAGGAATCTGATCTACTTTAAAGACCCACTGGTAAGGAGGACTCCTTATTTCATGAACAGAACTGCTTGAAAGGGGCTCTGTATCATACTGATCCCACCATGCATGTGATCACAACAGCTCTAAAATAATTGCACAAATTTTCAGGAGAGCTGTGTACCTCAGGCGCTGAGGTGTTTGGAAAAGCTGGCTGGGGGGGAGGGTGCTGAGTGTTCTGACTCTTTTGAGGAGTTTGTATTAAATGACTGAACTTAGCTCTCAGGTACTAGGGCATATGGAGTCAGCCACCTTGGGTCACAGGGCAGATCCTTGCTCTCATTCTTTGTGCTTGGGCAAGAAGTTAGTAAGTTAGTGACAAAGACCAGAGAACTCAGGTCTCCTAGTTCTCTGTGTTGGGAATGCCTATGAGTCCCATCATACCTGGAGCCATGGCAGTGTTCCCTCCAAATTAAACCTACTTCTGCTGCCATCAAATGACAGTCTGATGTCAGTTTTGAGCAACTGTGGATGCCTGTGACTATCCTGCTTTCTCCCTCTAAGGCTGCCTTTGAAACGGGCCGAGTGATTATTGGAAGCAAAGAACATGGGTATGAAGTCCGGGCCAGCTTACCCAGAGGAGTCAAAGGGAAGAGGTGGAAAGCTGGATTCACCATAGTCACGCCAAAAAGGGAGTTTGTGTTGACATGCGAGAACGACAGGGAGCAGAAGGAGTGGATGGAGGCTTTGAATGAAATCATTTCCCAGCCCATGACTGCCTAAGGTGAGTGGTGAGTTCCAGCAAACAGGCCTTCTTGGTTCACTGTTACATGGTGACCTTTTCTCCAGGTAGCCGATACAAAGGTCATATCATTGAACACCGTGGGCACAGAGGCTTCTTTCCTCTAAAGATGTAGATACAGAGTTGAAAGGACCCAGGCAGACTGGTGTCCTTGCAGAGCTTGTGGGGGGTCACTGCAACAGGGGCTCAGTTCAAGGCAGCTATAGCTCAAACTGGAGACTACACCAGCCCTGTTCTTCACTCCTGAACAGAAGTACACACAGCCTCTGCCTCTTGCTGATCAAGCCCCTGTGCCAATACAGGGATGAATTGGCCCCTGTTGCTTTATGAAAATGGAAGGATGTGAGCTTAAAGTCACGACAAACCAAGGGATTAACAGATATGGAATTACAGTTATCCTCAGCAGACCCTCCTTAACCCTCCCAACTGCGTGCTAAATACTGAGCACAGGAAACATTCCGTGGAGCCCTCATCTTGAATGAGGCTTGTTGCCATAGCTGAGAGCAGGGGAATGAATGCAAGAAGGGTCTGAGCAAAAGGGGGATGCACAGGTCCAACTTGTCAGGGTTCAGAGGGTTGAAGTAATGTACAGTACTCTGAATTTGCAGAGCAAATCCAGACTATAGGTCCAAAGTGCAATTCCTGCCCTGTCCTGGGTCCAGCCTTCTGTCCAGCCCAGCTCTGCTTAACAGGAGACCTGGGGCAGGGAAGTAGGATAGAGGTAATGGCTCCCCCTTTCTGGAGCTGGCTCTAACTTACACCCTTAGCCTCAGCAGACCAATTCAGCTGTCAGGTGAGCTGGGATAGAGAGTCTTTTGGATATGTCCTCTTCCATAGCCTTTCCCTCTTCGGGCTTTGAGGTGCAGCCCTGGCTCTACTGCCTGAGGCTATCGCAGGCCAAGTGGTGGGTATTTAGATGGTCTGTTCAGCTGGGTTTGTAGCCAAGAGTCTACTTCTTGATTTCACATGCAGTCATTTTTAAAAAGCTCTGGGAAGCATTAATTTTCTTTGTCTCATTCACTTTGCATCAGAAGCCAATCTCAGGCAGTGCCGACAGCCAGTTAAGTTGCATTTGACATACCAGTTGAGAGGAAAGATAAACTACGATAAACCAAGAGATGTTGGTTTTGCTGTTGTCTTCTCTTGGGTGTAAAAAGGATTCCAGTTTCAGGACATATTCAGTCCTTGGACTGTTTGCTGAGACTGTTTAGCTCACAAGAGCAATGGTGATTGTGGGTATGACCTCCTGCACTCCAAGAACCAGCCTGAGACAACTGACCTTACTTCCTGTGGGGCATCAGCAGCTGTTACATTATATTAAAGGCTTTCAGCCACTTCTGACATGGACTGCATAAAGCCAGTAACGAAGAGATGATGGGCTGTGTATTCTGGGGTCAGGACTCACTGGGTGCCATTTTCAAGAGTGCCTAGCACTGGCCTCATTGAACTTTGCTGTCATTGAAGACGGTGCAGGTTTTACCACTGACTTCAGGAGGAGAATGAGGCATGAGCTGAACACCTGGACTTCTTAAGAGGTGCTGAGTAGCTGCAACTCCTCTGGGCTTCACTGGATTTCTCACCTTCTCTCAGGACATGAACTCTCTGGCTTTTATTACAAAACAGTCTCAGGTCCTTTGCTGTTTGTATTTCTGATTACATAAATCCCAAGCTCTGTAAAAATAAAAGATAGTTTTACCTTACTCAGACTGTTATAATGTCACACTAAGACTCTCCAAGAATCTGTTATCATCTGCATTTTGCAGTTTGAGAATCTGATATACAGAGGAGTCGCCGGTTTGTTTCCAAAGGAACCACTGATTCTGGGGGCCTGAGGTGAGACATCTGGAGCTTGTTATTCAGAAGTGCTGAGCTCTCCTGACTTTGGGAAGTTCAGCTGGAAGAGCAGGTCTAGATTCCATCTGAGGTGGGCACACAGAGTCAGATGCCACTTCTGAAGTTTTAGCCAAATTTTGGGTGCAAGGGTACTTGGTGGCAGAGCTGACCCAAGCAGGGTGCAGGGCCTGGGGCAAGCCCATGCGGGGCCCCACCCCTGCTCCAATCCCATGCACCCCAGACCTAAAGAAGCTGCTGCCACCATCTACAGTGGCGGGGGGGGCGGGGGAGCGAAGCCGCCAGCAGCAGTGCAGAGTTGCCGCGGCAGCTCCGCCCAGCTCCAGGGGGCTCCCCAAAGTGCGGGGCCTGGGCCAGTTGCTCGGATTCACCTCCCCCTAGGTATAGCCCTGCTCAGTGGGTCAATGCCAGTGCTGGGAGCCCACACTGCTACAGCCCTGCATGACTGCTAATTGGAGCAGAAACATTGCTGTTCTGATTTTACACCTATTCTATACAGTGCTGAATGAATACAGGGAACCAGCAGAATGAACTGCCTCCTCTCCTATCACAACTAGTGCTGGGACATGTCAAGAAGTTCAGAGATTTGGTTTAACCAAGCAGCCTAACATTCGTTGCTTTTCTTACCTGAACTGCTTAAATCTGCAAATCAGGCCAGAAATCTCTCAAAGAAAGTTGGGTGAAAGGGAGGCTGCGAGAGCTTCCTGATCTATGCCAAGCAGGCTGAAATGCTCAGAATAGTTCCGTCTCTTCTAGCTGGAATGAGGAAGTGACCGTGCGTGTGGGGGTAGGGGAACTATTTCTACTGAACATTTTTTACACTGGAAAAAAAAAATTTGGCTTCTATTTCTCATTGTACTGATCCCAGCTTGCTCATCCACACCCAGCCACAAGCAGTCTTCATCTTTTTTTCTCTTTGTCCCCACCCATAAACTGGCCTTTGGAGCTGCTTCTTGTCCAGAAGCCTCATGAATTATGCTGGTGTCAATTCTCCTAACCTTTGAAAAACCATTGGAAAGAAGGAGAAAGCAACCTCATCTTGCATCCACTGAAATCAATAGCGAAGCTCCCACTGACTTGAATGGTGTGTGGTAGCTGGCTTTATTTCAGTGTTAATTCACATGTTTATTTTTAACCATTGAGATTTTATCTGAGTTTATCCAAACTGAGCACTGCAAAATCAAAGACTACATCCGTTCCCTAGGACTACAAGGAATCTGTAGAGCATCATGCATAACACAGGTGACAGCATTTTGCCCAGTAAAAGCTTATCTCTACAGACTTTCTATCAGCTCTGATAGTTCCTGGGGTGCAGAAGAACTGCTGTGTCACCAGCTTTCCAGGGAGTTCTGTTACCAACTGGATAACTTTCTGAGGAATGAATGAATGCAAACACAGCAAAACCTGTTGTTTCTCTTACAGCTTTGTGGGGCCTGGAAAAGCTTTGCATGGCTGGGATTATTTCCACATTTGAAGCAGAGAGAGGTCTGAACCAAGTTCTTGGATCAGAGTTCCCCAGAACTGGGGAGGTTTGAGTGAAATACTGAACTTGGTGACTCAGATCTCTCTTGTTCAAGTGCTGGTTTGGGCTTCCATTGTGACAGGTCCTGGTTACAGGCAGGTTCCTGTTCTACATCATTTCAATGGACCACATTCTGACGTGTTCATTAGCACAGGTTGAGTTTTTGTTTTTATTTTTTGCAATCAGGACTCATGGTAGAGGTGTTATCTTTTATTAGACCAACTAGATTTTCTGCAAAAAGAAATTTCTTTAATTGCAAGCATTCGAGCGCAAACACCCTTTAACAGGCATTGCAGAAAAGATTGTAAAAGTTCTCCTAGGTAGAAATCAAAGTTCATATTTTATAGGAGAGTTGAAGGTGGTAAAATCTCCTGTTTGGAAAAGTTCATGTTATATGCAGATTAGGCTCAGAGAAAAGTTGGAATAGCCTGTTTACCTTGCAGTTTTGTTGGTAAGCAGGATGTGTTCATATTTCCTTCTGGTTATGATGTTTCATATTTCACAGAGGAGTCAGTAGATGGGATGTTCCTGGGCAGGAATTGTTGATGTGAGGTTCTGTGAAGATGCAAATTACCTCAAACAAAGGCAGGAGTGGTATCTCTGAGCTTATGTACACGCCAAGATTTTTGCCCTTTCATGGGCTGCAACTGTGTGTCTGTTTGCATGAGCGGGATTTCCCGATGCTTTAAAAGTCTTTCTTGTGCATTAAACTAAAACGCCTCAATTGTAGTTTAGTTTGGCTCTTGGGGAATTAAAGCATTGTGTAAATGGATTCGTTGCGTGCAAACACAAAGGCACTCACAGATGTGCAAATGAGCTTCTTTGTCCACCAAATGGTACTGCACTTTTTTCTAGTTCACCCCTTCAAATTGCTTTTACTTTCAAATTGCTTCCACTTTTTTTTTTCTTGTGTGGCTTTTTCTTTTTTTTTTCTCATTTGCCAGCTCCCTGCTTCCACAGCTGTGTTGCAGGGCACAGGGTGGGTGGGGGGCCGCAGGCTGGGGGGGGACAATGCTGAACTGGGACCCAGCTTAATTAGCTTGAAAACCTAGTGTGTGTTAATACAGGTGTGATGCTCCAAAATAAGCACGTTTAAATTTTATAAACCTATTTAATGAGGATTAAAAAACCCATGGTGTGTACAGGTGCCCTCTGGTTTCAGGTGGTCAAAGGTGCTTCCTCTTAGTAAAATTATGAAGATTTCATTTTTTAAAATGTCATTTAAAAAATGTTTGTATTTCTTGGGTTTTTGCTTGTTCCTTTAACATATTTTGTCCGTTTCAGTATATCTGAAATTCTGAGTTACTATTTAAAATTTTGTCTACAATAAAGAAAATAAAAAACTCTCCATGCTACTGATTGAGGGGCAGATCCTCTCTTCCATAGAAGACAGGGGTTCAGCTCTTATCAGAATCAAGCTGCTGCTAAATTAAATTAAACAGCCACAAGAGAGCAGCAGAGAACAAGAAATGAGCACTTCATTGGGAAAACTAGATCTTTGTCTACAAAAGGCAGAGAAGCCTTGAGATATTTCTTTATACCAGTAATTCTCACCCAGGGTGCTGTGAAATCCTTTTAAGGATGCCATGGGGCTCTGCGCAATATTAGCATTGTTATCTGTGAAGATACCTGCACATGACTCACAAAATAAACCCAGAGATTTCAAATAGGAATTGATGGGGTCTAAAATATTCCAACCTGCTGTGATCTTTCTGCTTTTTTTTGCAATAATAGAATTGCTTTATTTTTTTTAGTGTAATCAAAAAAACCTGTGAAAGCTAGGAGCTGGCATTTTCTGAGGGGTCTTTGAGTCTAAAAATGTTGAAATGCATAACTCTATA